TTACCAGTGTTCGCGGTGACTGCACACCCACTTTCTCTGGCCCAACAGTATGCCAGATACCGCAGGGCGGCAGTGGTAATACACGAAGGCCCCTCGCCCGACACAGGACATTACAGATGTCTAGGAGTCTGCAGGAGTGAGGCCAACACCTCCACGATGGGGCCTTCGGGCCATGGGGGTGTTGCTTTGTCTTTTGAGTAAGAGCTGGGCTCATCAGAAGGATGAGTGCGCTATGCGCCTGGTTCGTGAGACCTGCCTTAACATCACGAACGCCAAGCGAGATCGCCTCTTGCTGCGTCCGGAAGAAGAAGTTGTAGTTGTAGTTGTAGTTGTAGTAGTAGTAGTAGTAGTTGTTGTTGTTGTTGTTGCTGTTGCTGTTAATGCTGCTTTTGTTGCTGCCGCCTCGTCGAGTCCTCCGTAGATCCATGCCACCTGCCACGCGAAGGTTGACGGAACCGGCCGTTGTGGTGAAGACGACCAGAGAGCTGCTCCTGCCAGACGAAGATGAAATTCCGCCTATCAGCCTTTTGCTTTACATCATCAGCCGACTGCTTCCGGGGGTGTGACGGGCAACCACATGTCTCCACGGGCTGTGGACAGAAGGCGAGATGGTATTGAAGCAAGTTCACGCACAGAAAGCTTGGAGTTGTTAGAGACTCAGAAAACTTTCGGGGTTCTTTCGAGCTGACTGCCAACACATTATGAAGTTGATGAGACCACTAGGAGGCATGCCCGCAGCACGTCAGCCAAGTTCATGGTCTAGACAAGACCAACATCATGGAGTCGTGGGCATTTGAGGTCCAGCGGCTCTTCAAGATCTTGAGTTTCACTTGGAAGCTTGGTGGCCAAAACCCAACTACGTAGGCCTGAAACAAGACAGAGGTTTTATTAGTCGTGTTCCTGTACCATTGCTCTATGGTTCATCCAGTTGTAATCACAATGATTTTTGTTGATGATGTTGCATCAGTTGCGTTGTGTTGTTCTTGGCGATATGCAAACTGAGGAAGCAGTCACCGCGAAGAACTTTCCCAAGGGGGCGGGTCAAGCCAGGTCTCGGCAGGACCGTGTCGGAGGGTTACGGTGAAGGGTAGTAGGGCCGGTGGGTTTTCTGGTGAGCCTGGAGGAAAGCTCAATTATAGGGACGAAAAAAAGGCAGTCGATTCTGTAGCGCTCGCTCGCCTTGGTGAGGATGCTGTTTCCCACGACGTAGGGACCGAATCCCAACCGAATGCCAGTTGCCGTACTTCCTAAGCCTTCAGGACGAGTGAAGCGTGTAATCAATCCTGTGGGGGTAATGCGGCTGATCCAGCGCTGTGGAGCCAAGATTGTCAAGCTGCAGGTCGGGGCCGCTGAGGAGACCGCGGTAACGAGCAACGCAGAGCAAGAAGCGCTTCAGACGCTGGGCTCCAGGGGTCAACTGTTGCGGCAGACTGCTTGGTGCCCAGAAGTCGCAGCTGGCCAGACACCACAATGGTTGCCGGGAATAGGCCAAGTTCAACTCACCTGCACGCACCGGACCAAACTCATGTTGGAAAGACCAAGGATCTGTGATGTTCGTATGCCTTTGATGAAGAAGAAGGCCGTGGCTCGCCAGACGGAGAGAGAGTGTTCCACCTGTACTCCTCGTGGGATCGATGCTGTCTGGCCAACAGCCCAAGTGCTTTTTTGTTGTGCTGTTCTGTTTCTCATCCGTGGCACTCGCGGCCCTCCTGTGTCGAGCTTGGCTCTTCGCTTCACATCCATCTGCTATGACGACACCTGCTTCTCTACGTTTCGTATCGTTGCGTGCCTCCCTCGTTTTTCGCCATAGAGGTTGCTATCGAGCACGCCGCTCCCCTGCCACAGAATTTCGTGTCTGACGGGCATTGGTTTACCTGGAGCAATGGTACACGTCGAAACAATCATCTCTTCAAAGACTCGAAATGCACAGTTCTCCATGCAGACATAAACGATCCAACTACTGGTGATGTCGATGCCGATACTTTATGAACACAAGAGCCTATCCAAGTGCCACCCGTGTGGTCAATGATACTGATCTTCTTAGCTATAGGGCTTCTTCGGTGACAGCAGACTCCACCTCAACGACGAACAATGTTGGTCGTCACGCTGATGAACCTCAAATTGCTGGACTTAGCAGTCCTGGTGGTCCTCCGTGAGGTACTGTACTGTACGAACGTTGCTGGTTAAACTCGCTGTGAAAGAAGCAAGTAAGTAGGCAGACACGCCGCACAACGACGACACCCACTACCACTGGAATCGATGCTGCGCACTCGTATACCTGAGAAATGTCCCCCAGTGTGCCAGGTGACCGGCAGGAGGAACCAGTAGACAGAACTATTCCAAATCCAAATACGAAAATATACTGAATACTGTTAGTCCTTGATCTGTTCCTATGGAAATTGCAATCGTTACGCACATGGTAGCTCACCACTGAGTCCTTACAAGTTTGGTGTTTCTGTTTAAGTTCAAGTTTGCGAAGCGGTTTGCAGTTGGACAAATTGCAACTCATTCACCTGTGGGGCGGCGGTGGAGGTTCAACAACACTTGCAGTGAAGAGCAGAATGTTCCAGGGCTGTGCACGGTTCAAAACATGAGAATTGCCAGTAGTTTGATTTGAATAGTCGCTTGGGAGGTAGGATGCTACAACGCTGGTGTGGTGATGGTGAGACCAGTTTTAGCAGCGTCAACGACTGGAGCGATAGCATTCAAGCTTTTCTGACTTTGCATTGAGATTCGACATTCATGATCGACGGAGCTGTAGCCAGTCGCAGTCGCAGCGAGCAGCGGTAACATTTTCTCACCCCGCTGAAACCTGGCAACACCAATGTAAATAATGTTGAGCAGAAACATTAGTGTAGGTAGGCCACTTGCTTGCAGGCCAAGCGGCGCGCTTTGCAGTCCCTGAAGGTGGGGGAAGTGGGTGACGACAGTGACAATCGTCTATGAACAGTCCAACTCCAAAGACGAAGCCAAGCCAGGTCGGCGCAGAGAGGTCTGGGACCATCGTGGAGGCGCCCAGGCGGCACACAAGGCCTCTGAGAATCTTACTTCTGTGTACACAAGCACATCCTCAACATGGCGTAGGTGCAGTATTCGTTGGAACATACAACACGCGACGCTGGAGTTGGAGAGGCTATCCTCTCACGGCTTTTGGAGCTTTGGCTCTGCCTTAGATGGATTAGGTGAAAGGCTCAACGCAGCACACGAGCATGTGCTAACCACTAGCAGAAGTACCAGCATCACTTTGCTAGTGTTTGCAGATGTCAAGCAGCCGACTGCGTAGCAGCACAAAGCCAGCAACTTCGATGACGCACAGTCCAATTTCAGGGGTGTGAAATGCCTGAAACGCACGACGCAGCAAAGAGGCGACGACCCCCATGAATTAACGTTGCCAATCTTCCACAGTGGCCCTAAGCCAAGATTATCCTAGATCGTCGGACCCTAAACCCTAAACCCTAAATCCCGAGACCTAACTAACCAGGCAGGTGGGAAAGAGGTGTCAAAAAAAACCCGGCCTCTTCTTGAGGTCTCCCTGAATGATGGCCTGCGAGTGGACATTGGCGCCGCGGTTGACGTTCTGGTACCTCTATCGATCCAGGCGCCTCAAGTTCTTGGACCGCTCTTCGCAGCGCAGTGGCCATCAAAGGACCGCCTTGTGAATTTGCGGCCAGGGCCGGGAAGATGCGCCGGGGAAGGTTGCAGAGAAGTACCCGCTGAAGAAGAAACTCGTGGTGACGATCGAGGATGGGCTGCGACACACCAGTTAAACCGAATGCATCTCGAAGCCCGAAGCCATGCCAGTTTTGGACTTCAGCCATGCGGGTGCTCACGCTCGCGCTTCTAGCGTCACAGGGCGCCTTCCTCATGACTTAGTCCAGACTCCTCAGTGCAGACACATAGGCATAGGTTTGGTACATCACCGACTGAAATTTACGGTCATCTCAGAGGCGCGAAGGCGCTAGAATCACAGCGGGTTTGAGTCTGTCAGAGCTTGCAGGGCCGGGCATGACACACAGCGCAGGAAGTCTCCACAGATCCTGCTCGAAGATTTCCCGTGATTGCCAGCGTGAAGAAGGAGCCATTGTCTAAGCCTCAGGCTGATGGTTCTTTTAATCCTAAAGCAGTCTTCTTAATCAGTGTTCATGGGTCTTCCATGAATTTTTGTTTCTTCGCATGCTCCTTGCAACGCAATGCTCAGGCAGTCGCTAGAGCAAGCCCAGACTGCTCTGCGGCCGCATGGTGGGGCATCTGATAGCCGCTGAACCGCACCTTCAACAAGGGAGTTGATGAGTTGAGAGGCTGTGGGCCCATCATTCGGATCCCAGTGCTTCAGAGCTTTGGGCAGAAGCGGCAGGGTCCAAGCACGAAGGCCCAACTCCCAGGGCTGTCAGGATAGCTTACTTCCTTTCTTCTGACCGGAAGCTGGGAGCCCCCACAGCCAGAATTCAAGAACACACATGAACATCATGAACCTTGTGGCTTTGGGCGAACAGCTCGAGGATCTCGCAGCGAAGGGGTGGAGCTCTCGAGGCTGGATGATTGGCAACCGGCAGGCCCGAAACTGTGGTGTCGAGCTTTGATATGAATTGCAGCAACTAGCGGCCTGCTCGGGACGCAGGCCCAGTAGAAGTTCGAGAGGAGCTCGAGGACGCTTGGCCTTCTCCCAGACATCGCGTTCCGGGCTGCGAGTTCAGAAAAAGCAGTCGTCAGTCCACGAAATAAACATGGAGCAGAGCTACGAGCCACAGGGCCGACTTTGCAGGAGCTTCCATTGCGACCACCGCCAGAAGTGGTGCGGAGTCTGGGGCGAAACCGGCAGCTCCAGGATGTCGAGGCTCTGGTCCCAGGGCCAGTTCGTATTCGGAGCGTGTGCAACTCGCCCGCTTGAGTCCATACACGTCCTTATCGTACTGTCGTGAATGGTTGCGAGCGGTAGCTGTGGAATTGGAGCGCAGTCATCGGGGTAGCCGTGATGGCTTTCATGGCCTTGGTTGTGGTTTTGGTGGTTGCGCCTGCCGCCTGCCTCCCTACCTCCCTCCCTCCCTCCCTCCCTCCCTCCCTACCTACCTACCTACCTACCTACCTACCTACCTACCTACCTACCTACCTACCTACCTACACCCAACCCACCCACCC